GGCAGTGTGTTCTTGAATGAGGCCCCAGCTCCTCAGAAGAGGCGGGAGACAAGTGTGCTGGGACTCATCGATAGACAGACAGATGTGGGAGAGTAAGATGGAAAGCAATTGGGGCCGGGGGGAGTGTTAGCAAGGCAGCCAGACAGGAACTGGGAACCAGGCAGGTTCCCACGCTGTCCCTTGGCTTCCAATGGGGCACCCAGTGGGGTCAGCACCTGATGCTGACCTCGGAGGGGCCCAGGCCACAAGCAGGCCAGGGTATAGCCCAAAGGGAAGGAAAGCCTGCCTATAGCTCCCCGGCCAGCACAGCCAGTGCCTGGGCCGAGGTCCCTGGGTCAGTGTCTAGTACAACAGGCAGCTGGCATGGCTTCCTGCCTCTTACCCTCTCCCCTCTCCTGAGAGGGAGCTGCTGCCAAGAACCAAGACAGGAGTGGGTGGTGAGGGACTGGTATGTGTGTGAGGGGAGGGGCAGACAGGACAGGACAGCCGAGACTACACGTTCTATGTATGTCTGAAGTTTATTTGTGAGGCAGAACGCCAGTGCAGGCACTTGGAGCCCCCCGGAAGACCACCCACATGGTCTTTGGGAGAACAGTACCATGGTCCGCAGGTCCCTTGTCCTGGGTGTGCCTACATTCTGGCGTGGGAGGCTGTGGGCACAGGGCCCATCCACTTCTCTCCTGGAAGAGGGGCACCCGTCAGCTCTCTGGGGCCTCCTGTGAACTCTTGCCCCCCAGGGCTCGCAAGGGTCATAGGGAGGCTGTGTTATCGGTCAGTAACCTCCTCCAGGTCCACAGGGAGAGCTGCCCTTCTGCCAGGACCCACCCCCCCTGGACACCCTGCCGGCCAGCAGACAGAGGCAGCTGCCCTTGACCCTTGCCTTACCAAGAAGGAACGCCAGCAGTTCCATGCGATCCGAGCCAAACAGCATGTGGGTCTGGCCGTCCACGTGGGCCACGGTGATGGGCAGCCCAAAGGCCTGGGGACAGAGAGGTGGGGGGTGGGGCGGCTGTGACGGGCGGGGCTGAAGCCCAGAGCCAGCGCTGCCAGCGGGCCTAGACCCTCCGGAGGTTCTTGGTGCTCAGATGGTGTCAGCTCCAAGCTCCTGCCCTCCCTCTCCTGGGCTGGGGAGGGCCCCTGCGTGTGGGGACCCCACAGACCCTCAGGGCTAGGAACACCGAGGTGGGGTGCTCACCCCATGTTTGCAGGCGGCCTCTGTGCTCTCCTTGAGCTGGTTCTTCACCTTGGGGGAAGATATCTTTTCCAGAATCCCTTGGGCTTGTTCTCGGGACATCCCAGCCTTCTCTGCAGCCTGAGGGGGTAGAGTGGGGGGCACCCATGTCTCTGCGTCAGAAGGTAGGGGGCTCAAGGGAGTGACTAGTCCTTCTATTGTCTGCCCCCAAGTCTTCAGGGTGGGGTCATCCTTCCTGTCCTCCCCAAGAGGAGCTCAGAAACCCCGGGACCCCCAGGCAGGTGGGAAGGGGCAGGTGTCTCTAGGAGGTCTTTTCAACACCGGCTGGCCCACCTCCTTTCGCAGGCGCTGTGGTCAGAGAGGAAGCCACGCTGCCCAGAGCGGAGCAGCTTAGGAGGCCGGACTAATAGCCTCTGAGTCCCTGTCCTTAGAAGTCTGGTCTCCTCTCTCCATCGGTCACTCCCAACAATCCCTGGGTGTCTCGGAAGCCTGGGGGAGAGTGCTGGGCCTAATCCCCATGGAATTCCCCGGGAGCGGGGCTGCTTCAGCTGACCCTGGGGGCTCCAGCATGGCTCTGCTGTCCTTGCTCCGGTGGCTCCTGGTGTGCTTAATCTCAGACACACATTCGAATCTCTCAGCTTTCTAAGGCCCGGGCACCCACCTGCTTCTGGAGCAGCTCTGTCAGAGGGGCAGGTGGATTTACGAAGCAGCCCAGGTTGAGCAGCACCCCCATCCTTCACCCCCACCCCCACCCCCGGACGTCCCACCAGGAGGGACACACAAGTCCCTGTAAAGCCAGGCCCTCCCTGTAAAGGGACTTGATTTGGGCTTGGCTTCTTCAGGGGGCTGCTTCCCAGAGAGAAGGCTTGGTGAGAGGGGGAGTAGTTAAGCAGTTAAGCAAACAATTAAGTCCACAGCATGGATGGTTGGGTGACCACTAAGAATCATGCTTCCTGGGTATTTAAGTTGGCATGGGGAATGATGGTCAAATATTAAGCTAAATCTTATTCAACTAATTTGCTGCCCAGACAACGAGCACAGGAGGGGCGGTATTGGCCGGTCTCACGTTGCACATTTAACTTCTGTGGGACCGGCTGGGTCAACACGCCCAAACTCATTGGTAAAAGCCACCCTGTAGACACCAGTGGTTAAGATAAATAAACAAGCAAACAACAACAAAACTCACTGCCATCGAGTCATGTCCGATGCCTAGTGACCCTGGCGGGCAGGGCAGAACAGCCCCTGTGGGTGTCCAAGACCATCACTGTACAGGGAGTAGAATGCCTCATCTTTCTCCCTCGGAGCAGTCGGTGGTTTCAAACCACCAACCTTGCAGTTAGGGGTCCAGCGTGCAATCCCTGTGCCACCAGGGTACCTGCGGTTGCAATACTCTGCTGTGAGCCAGTGTGGTCTGCCCAGCAGTGCTGCAGAGGAGACACCTGGCTACCTGTTCTGAAATAGGGGCCACTGACGATGCTGTGGGGGCACCGCCCCGTGCTGAAGCTTGAGGGTCACCCCCATGACTAATGGTATTATTTATAGGCTGTGTATTTCCCGAGAAAATGACCCTCAGAAGAAATGTGCTCCATCCATCGATGCCCCGCAAGGCTGTCTGAGTTCAGAGCTGTTTCCAGGGGTCCCCGGGCTTGTGAACAAACCTGGCTTGAAGCCTCAGGCCAGAGACCTAACGATGTGTTGCATGGGCACACCTGCCGCACAAGACCGCCCCCCAAAGATGCCCCTAAACAGGAGGACTCAAATGGGCCGATCTGAGCCGTGGTGTTTCCTGTCACCTCCGATGCGTGTGCACACTGGGCAATGCATAAGGAAGGCCGGGAAGAACGGATGCCTTTGGATTAGGATATTGGGGAAGAGTATGGAATAAATACACCAGGGACTGCCAGCAAATCGAAGAGATCTGCCTTGGGAGCAGTGAGGATGGACAGACTTCATCTCACGTGCTTTGGACATGTTAGCAGGAGGAACCAGTCCCCGGAGACGGACATCCTTCTTGCTTGGTAAAGCAGAGGGTCAGCAAGATCCTGAATGAAATGATGGGCACAGTGGCCACAATGATGGGCTCAAACATCCCAACGTGAGGCTGGTGCAGGACCGGGTGGCGTTTTTCCCTTTAGACAAGGGCATCGGTGTGAGTCAGAACCCAGTGGGCAGCCAGCATCTAACCATAAAGTCCTCTTCTAGATGTGTGGGGTGGTCTGGGGTGGCGCCCAGGCGGTCAAGCCTTGCCTGGGCCTCCCCCCTGCCCTCCAGGGGACCAGTGCTGTCCCCTCTCCCCCAGGCGCCACCCACCAGTGCATATGCTCCCTTCCATTGCTGGGGGAGGGAGGGGTCTCTTGGTTCTGTCTTGTCAGTCACTTGTCCCCTCAAACACGAATGCCCTTCTCCCCACGTGACGTCACTGTGGCCGCTCCACCCAGTGAGAAAGCAACTGTCCATCTCCCTCCCCAAGGTGGGGTCCTCTCAGCTTCCTGGGGAGGGGGTGGGGGGGGAGGGCACTCACTGCCAGGATGCTCTGGGGCTCTGTGATGTCTTCATCCTGGAGCAGAGGGAGAAGGGGGGTGTTGAGGGACAGGGTGAGTGCCCGGCCATCCGCGGGCTGGCCAAGGAGCCTGGGGAGGGGGCCAGAGGTCACCCACGGTCCCGGTGCTCACCCTGGACCAGACACGCATCCACAGCTCTCGAGACGTCTTCTCCAGCATCTCGGGGCACTCCAGGTGCACGGCCGTCAGGAACCGCATGGCCGACAGGCTCCCTGTGAGCAAGGCACTCAGAGACTCCGCAGGGTCACCAGGGTGTCCTACCTGTTCCTGTCAGGGATCTCCCGCCCCTGCCACACCCTGGCAATGACCCTGAGGCTCCAGAGGGCCCCTCCTGAGCACACACCCCCACCCACCTTCCCCGGCACCTTTTTCCAGGATTACGGCCAAGAAATCCTTGGGGAAGGAGATGGGGACCTGGTAGTGCTCTCGCAGGTTCTTGAGGTCACTGGCCAAGTACTGCGCTTTGCGGGGAAGCAGGGCAGGGGGCTTGTTTCCTGTGGGTGGGATGGTGGGGTGGGGGACAGGCTGGTGAGAGACAGGGCTTGTGGATCCCAGTGGGGGAGGGGGCCGGGGCGTGGCCTACCGCTGTCCTTCATGATCCCCCCGATGAGGCACGGACGAAGATGCAGGTCCACGTTCCAAAGGTGCTGGTAGCGGCATAGAATCTGCGAGGGGGGGTGAGGGTGGGGGTGTCACTGCCAGGCCGGAGACAAGGCCAGCAGGCCAGCCGCAGAGGAGTGGATCCAGTGTTGAGGAGTGCTGTTTGGAAAGGCAGACTCTCCGCACCCCGGAGATCCAGGGGCCCCACACTGCTCCAGGGCCCGGGCCTCCTGCTCAGTCCCTTGCAGGGCGGGGAGGTGGCCTGATTTCCAGCAGACATGGCAAGCACAGGCGCAGAGCCCCAGGGATGCCAACCAGACAGGACTCAGAGCAAGGGGCCTGGCCGGGCACCAGCTCCAGAGAGTGAGGTGGTGCCCGCTGGAAATTCACGAGGGTGAGGTCAAGTTCTGAGGCACCGACCACGCAAGACCTTCCCTGAAGCCCGCTTCCTCCAGCCCTGTGCCATGTAGCTGGGACCCCCTCTCTCCGCAGGTCTCTTGGGGACGGACAGTTTCCTCCTAATAACCAGAGGTGGGCGTGGGCTGTTGAGTCTAGCGCTTGCTGCATTCCCCCAGGCCCTGGAAAGGGACATCACTTGGTAAGGCGGAGGAGCAGTGAAAGAGAGGAAGGTGGTCAACAAGTCGGATTGACACGGTCCGTGGCTGCAACCATGAACGCAGAGCCGTGTGAGGATGGCCCAGGGCCCGGCGGTGTTCTGTTCTGCTGGGCATCGGCAGCTGTGAGTTGGACGGTCTCCGCTGCGTTTCACAGCAACAAGAGGATCCAGCTGTTGGTAGAACAGGAGCAGCTTCGGGATGAGGGCGACGGTGTTCATGGAGCCAGTATGACGCCCGTTCTGTTTGCCCAGGTCTGCTGATCGTGAAATGCCCGCTAGCAGGTCCAGCGGGCCCCTTGCGGTGACACAGACACAAGGGTGTGCTCCTGCTAAACACCGACCGGGACCTTCAGTCCCATGCAACACACAGCCATGAGTGAGGGGACCCGGTACTTCCTAAGGGCATGCCTTTCCCTGCAGCGGTGTCCTCGGCTTTGTAAACATCCACACATAACTTTAGATACGTTTGGCACACCAGCACACAGGAGCTAGCACACATTTGACATGCCACTAGCGTGGATAGGAGTGTCATAAATTCTAATACAGCAAATGTCCCCCCAATCCTGGAAATATCGATACCTCACCAATAGGAACACCTTTAAATAGGAGACGAGTTTCATTTTCTGACAGTCTGCTGCAAGGGACACTGATAGTACTCTGTATTTGCTGAGAGCGAGGGATGAAGCTCATTGAGATGGGACCCTGGTGGTGCAGGGAGCTGAGCATTGAGCTGCTAACCCCAAGGTTGGCGGTTCACACCCACAAGCCTCTCTGGAGGAGAAGAGGAGGCTGCCAGCCCCTGCAAAGACATACAATCTCAGAAGCTCCGGGAGCGGCTCCACCTTGTCCTGTAGGGTTGTTAGAAGTTGGACTTGACTCGATGGCAGTGGGTTTTGTGCATTTCCAAGACCGTAACTGTTTAAGGGAGTAGAAAGCCCAGTCTGTCTCCTATGGAGCTGCTGGTGGGTTCGAACTGCCGACCATGAGGATCGCAGCCTAACGCATAAACCACTACACCATCAGGCCTCTTGGGTTTTGTGTCTTTTTGTTTGTTTTAGGCACAGTAGCCAAAACTCCAAACCAAATTCATTGCCATTGAGTTAATTCTGATTCACAGCCACTCTATAGAACTGCCCTCTTTGGGCTTCATTTCACAGGCAGAAAGCCTCATCTTTCTGCTAAGGGTCAGCTGGTGGATTCGAACAGCTGACCTTGTGGCTAGCCGCCTAACACGTAACCCGCTGTGCCACTAGGACTCCTTTGAAGCCCATTAAAAGGATGCACGATTCAATGTGTACGTATCACGCGACATTATGTTTCTGTTTTGCAATGGTGAACGTGTTTCTAAACCCCTCTTCCAAGAGAGAAGTAAAAGGTGCTTATCACAAGTCACGTTTGGACCCAGTGAGAATATTTATGTCTCTCCGTGTCTGGAAATTGGACAACTTGTGGGAATAAGTTACATGGATCTTTAGATAATGAATGCTACATACATATGTTTATTTCCCATCTCCCTTCATTGATATTGCCAAGACTCACAAGACAAACCTGGCGTGGAGAGGTGGGGTTCCTGTCCTGTCCACTATGAACTTATCTCCACACACAGGAGTTGAGCGATCCAACTAAGAAGTGAAATGTGCATTTTACAAATGTTGCGTCTGGCACCAAGTGTGGTCCCCTCTGTGTTTCAGACCAACTGGTTCCCTCTTGCCAACCACACGAAGGACCCGCCATGGGCGCTGTGGTCCCGTGACTTGTGCTGTATCTGGTCAGGCTCTGCACAAAGGTAAGCCAACGCTGTCTTCAGATCGTGTCTGAAGCAAACCTGGTGTCGGTGCCTACTCTCACTCCATCAGGCGAGAGGGGGCAGGAGGGCACTGAGCTGCTCAGGCATGGGCAGGAGGGCGGGGCACTGTGGAGCGGGACTCCAAGGGTGGAAAGGGAGCATGCACATTGTAAAGTGTTATTTCAAGACCAGTTCTGCAGAGGGCTTGCCACACGCATCGCACACAAACAGACCGCCTCGTGAGCACTAGGTCGTTGGATGATCTCAGGCACAAAGAACAACGAGACATATTCCAAACAGACCACCCCCTTTTTTTTAACTTACTGATTTTTCCGATTTCAAAGCCTTCCGTATGGATGGCACCTCAAAGGAAAGAAAACCCCAAATCCTCCCAACTGGACCCACACAGGGTAACCTGAGAAGAGATGGAAGTTGTCAGGGGCTCCGTCTTTCTTGCACCCACAATCCATGCTCCCCGGAAGCGGCGGTTGGGCGTTCAAACAATGCGTTGCTTTGGGCAAAACCGCGGCGCAAGGTCTCTGCAAAGGGTTAAAGCGCAGGCATGCCATCTGAGGGCTCCCGGTGCTGGATCCAGGACGTGGTGCTTCCTGTCACCTCCCGCCGGTGTGGAAGCTGTGTAACACGGAAGCCCGACGGTGAGTGGATGCCTTTGAATTACGGTTTCGGGGAGTCTATATCAAATAGACTCAAAAACTCAAACGAACTCACCCCTGTGGGCTCCCTAGGGGAGTAGAGTAGAAAGCTCAGTCTTTCTCCCTCCGAGGAGCTGCCGGTTTGGGACTGCTCACCACGTGAATGTCACCTCGACACCACCAGGGCTCGCCGATGAGGCTACTGACCATGAGAAGAACGCACAAATCTACTTCGGAAAAAATATAACCTCGTCAGGGGAGTGAAGAGGGTGAAGCTTCCTCTCCTGTCCTTTGGACTTGTTATGGAGCGGGACAGGTCCCTGGAGAAGGACATCATGATTGGCAAAGTAGAGCTGGCAAAGAAGAGCAAGGCCTTCAGGGAGACAGGTGGACACAGTGGCGGCAACAATGGGCTCAGACATAACAGCTGTGAGGTTGGTGCAGGGCTGCCCCAGGCCTGCGTTCTGTGTCCCGCTGTCCATGGGGACAGGAGGAGTCTGGAGCCCCGGTCGTGATTAGATGCTGTGGGGTCGGGTCTGGCTCAGAGCGACCCTGTGACTCCCAGCAACAATCTTCAAATGTAAACTCTGGTGTGAAGGCCCATATGGGAATGTAAAGTTTATTTTCCGATTTTTACTTGTGTTATAAAGTCTCGTTATTTCCAATTATTCAACTGTATTTGGCACCCCAAAACAAACAATAACAACTACAACAAAACAAAACAACCCCCTCTCCAGAAAAACAAACGCAGGGGAGCTAAATTTAAACAGTGACATAGCATTCTATCAGGTGAGAGGAAATGGCAACAGTGGCGTGTAAATGCGAACATTCACAGAGAAGTGCAGACAGAGGACCTGCCCATCTCTAAAGACTGTTCTAAAGGCAACTGCCATTTTAGAAGCAAGGAATCAGCAGACACTTCTGTCAAACCCTCAGATTTAAGGGGTGTAAATGGTGATGCCAGGAGGCCTGAAAGTGCTAGTAGCCGAACGGATCTAACAATTTGTTCCAGATTCTGCATCCATCTCCGGCTGTAGTAAACAAGTCAACAGCGGTGTGGAACGTGGACCTATTTTAGTACCTGAAATTGTGACACCTGCAGGTCCCATAAACACAGATCCAGCTCTGAGGAATCGTTTTCTTTTAATGATGCAAATGGTTAAATTGAAAGAGGGCCGTGTCTGCCAGCACCACAGGGACCACTGACAGTTCATGCTGAAGCTCTCCCGAAGGTAAACAAACAAGGTTCTGTAGCCAGAATGCAGTTCTCGGGCGCACAGTGAATGGTGGGCCCTAGATTATAGGAGGGAGTGGCTACTGTGGGCTCCACCCATCAGCTCTGTACGTTGCTTGCTTTGCTGTGGGATCCAGAAAGGTTTCCCCCCAGGCTGTCCCCCCATATTCTATGCTGTTTGCTAACACATGGTCAGTGTCTGTACACATGGAGGTCAGCTGCTTAGAAGCTATCTCCCTGAGCGTATCAGCCATCTAGTGCAATGGTTCTCAACATTCTGATTCCTAACAGTAGCAAAATTACAGTGATGAAGTAGCAACGAAACTAATCTTATGGTTGGGGGTCTCTACAACATGAGGAACTGTATTAAAGGGTCTCGGTATTAGGAAGGTTGAGAACCACTGATCTAGAGCAATCAGACCTTAATGTCTGTCCCACTCCCTGCTAAAGATAGTGGATTTTTTTCCTTGAAGGTCAAGCCAACTGGAGGACGACCAAAGTTAGGCTTCCATCTTGAATCTAGGATCTGCCCATCTCGTCACCTGTGTATCCTAGCCCCCACCTTCCTATTACGTGTACACCCCTAGCTCATCGCCATCCTGTCACGTGTATGCCTATTGGACAGCCCTATCCTGTTATGACGTGGTGACCTGTAATCAGGGGGGCTCAAAAGCCCCCTAAGTGTATATAAGTCTTTGTTAGAAATATATGCTCTCTCTCTGTGCCAGACCTGGCCGCTGAGATCATGGCCATCGGGAGTTGAGCAATTGAATGCCTTATATTGTCTGATATCTCTTTAATTTTACTTCTCAATTACACAACCACCCATGGACCATTTGCTTGTGGTACTCCACACGTCACGAGCAAACTACACAGTCCTAAATAACATCATCCTGCAATCGTCACAACTCTTACGTGATGGATAAAGCATGGGGCAGTGCAATTCACCGAGATGGTAAGTAGCCACATTTAAATGGAAGACAGAAACACCAATTAATGAGGAATGTCAGTATAAACTGCCACGAAGGGCAACCCATCACATATATCTAAAATAACACGTGAAGAATTAATAAGTTTATCCACCAGCATTCCAAAGGAAAAAGATGAGGCTTTTCACTCCTGTAAAAGGGCGTATGGCAGTTACATAATTTCATGTCAACTTGATAAATTAGTACAGGGGTGGAATCTAGCCTGTCAATCAGGTCAAAGTCCGATGATGCCTCCTTGTGGGCGTGGCCATCTCGTGAGAATTCTGGGAACTTCCTTTCTCCCTGGAGGTGGGACACACTCTCTCTGCTTCACTTTCCCTTTGTTGAGACACTCAGAGAGCTGGAGGAGCCATGTGGAGACCCACCAGCACTAAGATGCTTCTACTGCCAGTGGATCCACAAGTCTTCATCCACCAGCCTGTGATCTTTCTGCATTCAGCATCACTGTGAATGGCTATGTGAGTCTGAAGAGGAATTTATGGATTAGTGTCCGACATAAGGGCTAGTATCAGACTTAGGGACTTGATCTGGACTGGGCTGGGATGTTTTCTCAATATACAATTCCTCTTTGATATAAAGCTCTTTCTTATAAATATATGAATCTCCCTGGGTTTGTTTCTCTAGTCTGCCCGGACTAACACAGGGAGCCCTGGTGACTTAGTGGGTTATGTGTTGGACTGCTAACCATGAGGTCAGCAGTTTGAATCCACCCACTGCTCTGAGGGGAAAAGATGAGGCACTCTACTGCCTTACAGAGCTACAGTCTCTGAAACCCACAAGGGCAGTTCTACTCTGTCCTTTAGAGTCACAATAAATCAGGACTGATTCAATGGCAGTGAGTGAGTGAAATAAGTCGTCTCAAAGCAGCTGTCCACCCCCTGCTGTTCAGTTACTTCCTGTAATTTTTGCTGTCTCAACTCACTGGTGGGCAGTTCTTTGGCCATCATGGGGGGCGTATTAAAATGTCCCTTTAATACACACTGGGGAGGCAATGGGTGCTACCCTGGGCCCATACACTCAGATTCTACAGCCCTTAGAAGATGCTGCTATGGACCAGACACAAAGGGGAGATACCAAGAGAGAAGCTGACATCATCATCCAACAATGCTAAGATGACCTTCTATACAAGGGTCAGCCAAACAAGTATTGCTAGTAGGGTCCCCTACTAGCATGCATCCGTGCATGGCTTTAACATGTTTGAACGTGTCTCGCTGATCAGTGGATGTCTACAGACAAGATCTCTCAGTAATACATGTGTCTTACTCTTGTGAGTGACTTAAACAAACAAACCCAAACGAACCCCCAAACCAACAGTGGCTTCCATGGGCGGGATCTGCTGACCCATTTAACTTCGAGGCATAGAGGTTATCTGAGAAGGTAGTTATTTTGGAGATTCCAGTGGGATTATCATGAATGCGTTTCTCAAAAGACACAGGAGGATCACAGAAGCTTCCCAGGAAGCGGTGTTAGGACAAGAGAAAGGAATTGCATCAGCCAGAAAAAGGGCAGGAAAATTCCACGGAGGACCCTATTTCTATCATGACACAATGCCTGCTCCTTCTTCAATGCGACCAAGGGCCGTTAAGAGAATTTAACCGGGAAACCTGACCCCATCCACTTTCTAGCCCTGACCTTGCCCCTTCAGACATCTTTTGGGTCTCTCAATTCAAAGAATCACAATTTGAGTTTCTCAAAGACACCCCCCCCCTCACCCCCCCCTCCCTTTGGATGTGGTGTTCATGAGAGAGGGCAGGCTTTTTCAGGGAAAGTTAGAGAGCTGGAAATCTTCAGACGTGTATAGACACAGCTGGAGGACACGTTGAGAAATAAGACCTTCAGGTTTGGGTATTTTTGTTTAATCGAGGTTTCCAAGATTTTGTAGCAAGACATTCAGACTCAGTCTGGCATACATGTTGGTTATGTGGAAAGACACAGGGTTTGCATCGGACGAATCCAGCTCTCCAAGATGTAAAGTCGTGCACAGAACACCGCTGGTCGGAAAGTCACAGGGCATTGACAGCGTTTAAGAATTTGAAAACACAAGGAAAGAAATGCTGACAAATACTGCTCATGAAGCAGGTCGCCAAGCTGCACTGCTGAAGCATTAGAAGCACAGAATGCACGTGGTTCCGAAGTCCTGGTTACCAGAGGGCTTTCACATGACGTACAACACGCCATCATCGACGTCTTGCTCATGAAGGAAGACGGAAGCGTATTTAGTTCTTTCTTGTCATTTTCCCTTAACAAACATCGTGGCTATGCCGATGAGGGATGCATGACACCATCCGAGAACCTCCTGCAGGCTCATCTCAATGCCTCACACCCGACCGTTACGGAAAAGGGAGCAATCCCATGCCTCCGTGAGAACTAACCATACAGATTCAGGAAAGACACATTTTGCTCACCTGGGCATGCCTGATGCCATGCAAAAACTCAGTGTCCTCCAGTCGATTCCAACTCATAGCAACCCAGAGGACAGAGAAGAACTGCCCCAGTGGGTTTCCATGATAGTACAGTGAACCCTCACCACTTTGCGCTTCGACTTCCGCGGCTTCACTCTATCGCGTTTTTTGCGTAACAGTGCATGCTCTGTCATTACTGCCACTGATTGGCTCATACTGTACACGCTTCTGTCTGCATCGCTATGTATTGGAGCTACGTATCAGATGCATTTTTGCTTTTGTACAGTGTACTGTAATTGTTTGCGATTTTTAAGAAATTTTATCTAAGCCCTATGATGGCTCCTAAATGAGCTGCTTCTTCTAAGCCTTCTGACAATAAAAATAAGTGCCAGAGGAAGATGCTCACCATCCAGGAAAAGGTAAAACTTTTGGATATGATCAAAGATGGCAAGAAAATCGTGGATGTTGCACGCCATTTCGACTTGAATGAGTCTTCCGTTTGCTCCATCCGTTGTACTTCATAATATAATAAATAATAAATGATCATTATAACGTCCAAAACGTTTTACTGCATTTTCCCTTTTTCATTTAATAAATTGGGTAATACGAGTGTAATGGTGACTAAAGGGTGTTTTTTCATGTCCTCTATGCTCTAACTACGAAAATATTTGATTTACAAATAAGGAATACTACTTCGCGGAATTTCATTTATCACGGTAGGGTCTGGAACCGATTAACCGCGATAAACGAGGGTTCACTGTACACCTTTACGGGAGTAGAAAGCCTCATCTTTCTCCCGAAGAGTGACTGGTGGATTTGAGCTGCCGACCATGCAGTTAGCAGCCCAACACGTAACCCACTGGTCACCAGAATACAAGGACTAGTTCCCAGAGCTGAAATAGCTTTAGGCAGATTCCTAAATCTAGTGATCACACGCTGCACATCCGCACACTCCTTTTTTGCCCCTAAAGACACTCAAAAGTCCTCGCCCTGCAACCGTGATTCAAAGACTCTACTGCCAATCCTATGTTCACCAGCCGATACTGCGCAGCAGCCTCATTGGGATGGAACCACAACTGCACAAGAGCAAACACACAAAGAAACGTCCATGATCACCTGTTGGTGGTGGGGGGCGCCGTTGAGCCTGTGCCGACTCACCGTGGCTTGATGTACAACAGAAGGAGACACCGCCTGGCCCCGCCCGTCCATCCTCACCAGTGTTCTGATGAAAGAGATTAAGTAGCAATGTTGCTTTCTGAAGATGACAGTTGCTGTCTGACTTCTTTCCGCGGGTCCACTTAGAAGTACAGCGTTTGTTACAAGACAAGGGTCAAGAGTAGGTGCGAGTAGGAGCCACTTAAAGCAACATTGGTGACAGTCCATTTTTCCTGGAGACAGACTGTCTGGGATTGACTTCTCTAGAACTTGACATTGCTGGCTCATTTCTGTTTGTGGTAGAATATTTCTACAAAATATTCTTTTTGTAGAAAATGTGGTGCACAGGAACAGTCTTAGTACCCGGCATCCATGGAAAATTCCACAAGCCAGTTCATTCCATTCAGTCAAAATGGAATTGGCCACGGCCGCAGTCCATTGCAACATTATAGTTGCATTAAAAAGAAGTTACATCAATGATAGTTGACACTCATGCACACTCCCATCTAGCCTGCAGGGGGTGAGGGGCACATAGGCAAAAGAGGCCTTCAAAAAGTTAGTGGGAAAATCCCATTTCTTTAAATTTTTATTTTTCCACGAACCACGCAAAGTCACCTCCTGCATGTGCACAATCACATGCATTTGTATAATTGACACGCCAAGCCTTGAGCGGCACAATTGAAAGAGTCTATATACGGGCAACACATTGATCAACACAGGAGGCATCCAAAGAAGACAGAAAGAATACACAGGGCCACTGTGCCAAAAATGACTGGTTGGCATTCAGTTATTTCTGGAGGTGGTATATGATTTAAGAGCAATGGTGTTGAAGGAAGAAGTCCAAGTTGCACTGAAGGCATTGGCACAGACAAGGATGCAGGGGTTGGCAGGAGAGCAATGGAGATGTCTCTATAATCATGCAGTGCTGGAAGCACTCACTGGTCTCTGCCAAGGAACCTGGATGATAGCAACACGGCCACTCACTGGAAGAGACCCACCTTTCCAAAGACAGGTGACCCTGGAGTATGAGAAACTTAGTAAGCAATCGCATCAATTTCACACATCTTGATTTGCTCAATATGAAACTCACTGCCACTGAGTTGATTCAGACTCATAG